TTTTTCCATTCTCACTTAAACCCACAGCAGTCTGGTTTAGCCCAGCCATACCAATGAGAAAGCCCCACATTCCTTGGCTTCCACAGTGCAACCCAGCAGCATCCATCACAGTTAATTGCCCTTTTTCCTTCTCAAAGACACATCTTTACCTGACTTCCAGGACACCACATTCTCTAAGATTCAATTCCCCCCACAGCAGCTTCTTCCTCTGGGCCCCAACCACTGCAGAATGCCTCCGGCTCAGACCTCATAGACAGATATTCCTTTCAATCTGCATTTGATCTCCTGCAAACTGACCTTGCTTGTGCTTTAAAACCATCTGGACATAGGAGCCTACATCTAGCACCAGCACTGTCAATGAGGTTCAGACCCATATCCTATTCAGATATATAATGTACAAATGAACATGGTCAAAACCATCTTTTTAATTTATTTTTCTGTTAATCTGTTGCTAGTGTATATATAGATCTGCTACCGATTTTTGTATGTTAACTTCATATTCTGCAACTTTCCTGAATTCATTGATTAGATCTAACAGTTTTTCAATGGAGTCTTTAGGATCTTCTCTATATATAGAATCATGATGAAAAAAACTGCAGACAACACAAATACATGGAAAGATATCCAATGTCCATGGATTGAAAGAATTAATATTGTTAAAATGTCCCCAACTACCCAAAGCCATCTATAGATTCAATGCAATCCCTATCAAGATTCCAATGGCATTTTCACAGAAATAGAAAAAGCACTTCTAAAATGTGTATGGAACCACAGGAACCCCAAATAGCCAAAGCAATCCTGAGAAAGTACAACGAAGTGGGAGACATCACACATGCTGATTTCAAGCTATATGATAAAGCTACAGCAATCAAAACAGTATAGTATTGGCATAAAAACAGACAAATAGACCAAAGGAACAGAATTAAAGCCCAGAAATAAACTCATGTATAAAGAGTCAACTAAAATTTGATAAGGGGACCAAGAATACCCAATAGAGAAAAGACAGTCTCTTCAATAACTGGTGCTGGGAAAACTGGATATTTACATATAAAAGAATGAAACTAGACTCCTATTCTTACACTACTCACAAAAATTAACTCAAAGTGGATTAAAAACTTAATCCATAAAACCACAAAACTCCTAGAAGAAAATATAGGAAAAAAGCTCCTTGACATGGGTCTTAGCAATAATTTTTTGGATGACACTTAAACCACAAGGAATAAAATGAACAAGTGGGACTACATCAAACTAAAAAGCTTCTGCACAGCAAAAGAAATAATCAACAAAATCAAAAGGCAGCCTACAGAATAAGAGAAAATATTTGCAAATCACATACCTGATAAGGAGTTAATATACAAAATATATAAAGAATTTATACAACTCAATAGCAAAAAAACCCAATTTTAAAAAATTGGCAAAGAATCTGAATAGACATTTTTCTAAAGAAGATATTTAAATGACCAACAGGTACAGGAAAAGGTGTTCAACGTCACTAATCGTTAGGAAAATGCAAATCACCACAATGAGACATTACCTCACACTTGTTGGAATGATTATCATCAAAAAGGCAGGAGATAACAAATTCTTGTTAAGATACGAAGGAAAAAAAACTCCTGGGCACCGTTGGTGGAAATGTAAGTTGGTGCAGCTACTATGGAAAACAGTACAGAGGTTCCTCAAAAAATTAAAAATAGAACTACTATATGATCCAGCAATTCCACTGCTGGGTATATATCTGAAGGAAAAGAATCACTATTTTGAAGAGGTTATCTGCACCCCCATGTTCACTGCAGCATTATTTACAATAGCCAAAAATGGAAGTAATCTGAGAGTCCATTGACAGATGAATGAATATAGAAAATGTGGTACGTGTACACACACACACACACACACACACACACACACACACACACACTGCCTGGATTATTATTCAGTCACAAAAAAGAAGGAACTCCTGTCATCTGTGACAACATGCGTGGACCTTGAGGGCATTATGCTAAGTAAAATAAGTAAGACAGAGAAAGATACATACTTTATGATCTCACTTATCTGTGGAATCTAAAAACAAAACAAAAATAAAAACAAAAAAACCCCATCACAAATTCATAGAAAAAAAGATCAGATTTGTGGTGACCACAGGTGGCAGTGGGGGGCAGAACTGGAGGAAGGTGCTCAAAGAGTACAAGTTTCCAGTTATAAGATAAATAAGCATTGGACATGTAATGTACAACATGAGGACTATGGTTAACAATGCTGTATGGTATATTTGAAAGCTGCTGAGAGAATAGATACTAAAAGAGCTTATCACAAGGAAAAAAACATTTTTTTCTTGGTATCTATATGAGGTGATGTTAACTAAACTTATAGTGGTCATCATTTCAGAATATATGTAAATCAAGTCATTACACTATACACCTTAAACAATACTGTATATCATTTATATTTTCATAAGACTGAAAGAAAAAAGAACACAGTAAATGTAAAAAGAGATTATTACTACTAAAAATGCAGATGGACTCTGAAAAACAAACTGAGGGTTCTAGAGGGGAGGAGGGTAGGGGAATGGGTTAGCCTGGTGATGGGTATTAAAGAGGGCACATTCTGCATGGAGCACTGGGTGTTATGAACAAACAATGAATCATGGAACACTACATCAAAAACTAATGATGTAATATATGGTGATTAACATAACAATAAGAAAATTAAAAAATAAATAAATAAAATGCAGACCAACTTTCCACTTTTAAAAACTAATGGGGTAGGTGGGTGACACAATATTACCAACTGATAGAACTGAACACACTAAATAGAAACCTTCATACATTCTTTTTTTTTTTAAGATTTTACTTATTTATTTGACATAGAGAAAGAGAACAAGTAGGAAGAGAGGCAGGCAGAGGGAGAGGGAGAAGCAGGCTCCCCGCTGAGCAGGGAGCCTGATGCAGGACTCGATCCCAGGACCCTGGGATCATGACCTGAGCCGAAGGCAGCCGCTTAACCGGCTGAGCCACCCAGGTGCCCCCCTTCATACATTCTTGCCAAATACACCTGTTCACATATAAAAGAATTCAATGCCAAACAGCAAAGGTAGTGGGAAAAAAAAAATCCAATTTTTGTTTGAAAATATAGAAGCAAAACAGTAATAAAAACTCAGACCCCAATATATAAACTGTAGAAAGAATGTATATGGTCAATTTACAATAAAGTAAAAGGCTAACAATTCCCTCCCTCAAAAAAAAAAAAATAATAAGGCCTCATGATTTTCTCACCAAGAAAAACCAAACCAACCAACCAAACAAACAAACAAAAAGAAAAACCAAATAAAACAAAACCATCTGATCCCCTGCACCACCCTCTTGCCTCACCTTAGGCAATGTCAGCTTATTTATGAAATACCCTTTGCCACACCTCTTAGCCAGTCTTGATCCCTATTTTTATTTGATTTCTTTCCATAAAGTTTATCTTCTTTTGACATTACTTCTACTTTACTTCTTGGGTCCTCATCACACTCCCCTACAGTCAGGGCTGTAGTTGCTATGTCTCCAGGATATGCAACGGTGCCCAGCACATAGTAGGCCCTCACTAGGGTGGGGGACATGGCTTTCTGTAATTGCATGGCATCAACTTCAACAAGGACATTCAAATCCCTCTAATTGTCTTCCCTTCCTGTTCTTTCCAGAAACTATATAAACCACCACCATTCTCTCTTGATGCTTTAAATTTCTCTGCTTTGGGCATACGGCCTTCTGAGTTATTTTATGTTAACATATACATATGGTGAATAGGCATGAACTGACCCACCATGCTACATCCATCCTACCAGACTCTGTGACATCTTTATGCTTGTGCCTCCACCCCTACACTTAAGATGGGCCTCTCCTCTCCTGATCCCCCTCCCCTACTTCCTTCCCTGGACACTGATAGAGCAATTATCCCTAACCACTCTGTCTCTGCTGGGTCCTCCTCATTATTCTCTAAATAGGCCTCATCTTTCCTCTGGTGACTCTCTGGACCCGAGATCCCTTTCAATCCACTAGCAGCTAATCTCCACATCTGACTTCTTGCCTGAAATCCTAGTCCTAGCAGAAGAATCACAGCACTGTCTCTACTCTTTGTCTTGGACACTCCATGAGTCATGGGTTCCTGGCTTCCTCCCCTGCTAGTTCACTAACATTGCCATTGAGTTCTCAGTATACACTGTACCTGCCTGCCTCGATGTAAACATTTCCTAAACAGATCTAAACCTGTGTTTTTCATTGCCACATTTACTCTTTCTACTGAAACTCCTTTTTCCTTGAGACTCTATTAAGTTTGCTTTTATGGCACTGCTTCCCACAAGTTCTCATTTTCATTGAAATTTTTTCATTGTTTTGTTCTAATTTAAAACACAAAGAGACCATGTATTACACAGGGTTGGGACACGGCTCTTGGAATGCATACCCCTATCCCCTTCACATGTCCTGCTTGACCCCCCATGGCCTGGCCCTTATGGTTATTCATATACATACCAACCAGTTTCCTATCTGGGTGTCTTTGCTCTCTCATACATCTTTGCATTTGCAAGTGTTCCCTTGGACAATCTCCGTAACCATATTTGTAAAAATAAACTGAATATATTTATTTCTATTTCCCTTTTTATAATATAACTTATTCAAAAACAGGAATAGTCTTATCTAGTCTTGTCTTAATTGTCTAAGTATCTGGAATACTGATGCTCAATAAAATCTGATAAACCCAAATAACCAATCCCACTAAGGATTAATCATGTAAGCTGTTGACTGAAACAGTGAATGCTTGACTTGGATAAACAGTTCCCTAAATCATCTCCAGAAATTAGAACTTCTATAATTGCTTATCAAAGTTACAATTCTATTCTGTCAATTTTCTTCCCCACGTAAACAAGTTTAAGTATTTTTAAATTAACATTTCAGGTATTTGGATTTTAAAGAAAGATAACAACTTAAGAAAAAAAGGATTTTAAAAAAAAGGTGTAATTTAACCTTAGAAGCTTCTTCTTGTTTGCTGATCTGTCTGGAATCCTGGGAAACGTCTGTTTTTGGGGTGTGTACAAAATGGTCTCTGCAGATTTCACCCTCGGCTTTATCAGTCTCTCCATCTGTCTATCATCAGATCCAAAATCCATGTGGTATTTGGGAGAGGATTCAGAATCAATGAACAAGACATTCTCTGAGTCATCTTCCTTTTCACTATCTGATGAATATTCCAAAATTTCTGTAGAACTCTGAAAAATATTAAAAGAAATGCAGTTAAATTTGGAGAACTCTTTATTCAAGTCCATATTTACATATGCCTTTATTCCATTTTCTTCTGGTTATATTCATTGAAATAACTTTGTAAATAGTTATAGGTTAAACTTTTATTTTGAAATTACTATCAACAGTTCCTATTTAAGAATACGAGTCATTGCCTCTTTTCCTAACATTTCCTAAAATGTTTCTTACTTTCTCCTACTCAAATTTCTAATTCAAAAATGTTTTTGAAAAGTGGATTATAAAACAGAGATCATATCATATAGTGAATCCTGGACAGAAGAATCAAAACTTTTTCTGTGATGTCTTCTGTTTTTACTTAGACACACACTAAAATATTTAAATGTGGTAGGTATCTTATTTTCCCATTACTTGGTTTTGCAGGTCAGTCCCATTTTGTTCTAACATCAGCAACAATTTATCCTTCAACATTCTAATTTTCCAGTGTATTAGGAAGCTCTTCTAATTTAATATGTTTTTAAAGATTTATTTATTTATTTGCGAGAGCGAGAATGAGAGTACATGAGAAGGGGGAGGGTTAGAGGGAGAAGCAGGCTCCTCGCTGAGCAGGGAGCCCGATGCGGGACTCGATCCCAGGACTCCAGGATTATGACCTGAGCCGAAGGCAGTCGCTTAACCAACTGAGCCACCCAGGCACCCCTAATTTAATACATTTACAAAAATTTAAATTTATTAAATGAAAACAGTACATTTAGTTGAAATGGATCTTCTGTACCCACTCAATTTGTAGGGTAGGCATGGGGTCCTTCATGAGGAGCCCTGCTTATTTTGATGAATCAACATGGACTATGTCCCTGGCACTGTAGCAGACACGTGGTTAAAGAGAGGATACAAGTGTATGAGTGTTACTGTTGGTTAAATCAGTGTGTGTGTGAACTAGTATGTGAGTGTGCAGGGTAGCACTAGAGTTTTCATCATTTGCTAATCTAATCGTAAGACAAAAAGTTTACTTTTTGTGCCCTTTTCTGAGATTTTACAGTTAAATCCTTTTTAAGAGCTTAAAAAGGACATCACTCATTCCCACATCTCCAAAAAACTGCCTGGGTAGTCACCTGTTACTAGGCACATTTAAAGTAAGAAAAAGTAAATGAAGAAACTTCTCAAATAGCTTAGTTCCAATATACTTTTCACAATCTCAGGTGTATGCTTAAATTACTGCAGGTAGCTGATAACCCATTATTAAGCACTAGACTCACATGTTTTCCCCACAGCACAAATTCTGAATAAATATTAATAGGCCACAAAAAGAACCAAAGCAGTTTAGACTAGAAATTAACTTGCTTGATACTAAAAATTTGCATACATTGAGAACTCCAAATTCAATTCATCTTTTTCTTATGAAAAGTCTTTTCTTTCAGTGCCCTGAAGTTTTACACTTCATCCTAAAGCAGGATTTCTCAACCTCAGCACAATTGTCATTTGGGCTGGATCATGTGGTGGGAAGTCTCTTGTGCACTGTAGGGTTGTTTAGCAGCATACCTAGCTCCTACCCACTAAATAACAGCAGCATGATCGCACCAGTCATAACTATCAAAAATGTCTCGAGACATTGCTAATGTCCCCTGGGAGACAAAAATCACCCCTAAGTATGAACCATTGTCCTAGAAAAACGTCAGCAAATAACCAACCACATTTGGCCTATGCTGGAGACTCACATCCAGAAGTGAAGGGGACACAGCACTTCATGGGGATGGAGAGGTCAGAATGAAACGCATTAGTACTCCCTTCTCTGCGGGGATACATTCCAAGATCCTCAGTAGATGCCTGAAACTACAGATAGTACTGCATCCTATACAGACTATGTTTTTTCATATACATACATACCAGTAATAAAACTTAATATATAAATTAGGCACAGTAAGAGATTAACAACAATAACTAGTAATAAAATAGAATTATAGTGTAATAAAATTTATGTGAATGTGGTTTTCTCTCAAACTCTTATTATACTATATACTCATCCTTCTTGTGATGATAAAATGCCTACTTGATGAGGTGAAGTGAGGTAAATGATGTAGGCACATGACGTAGTGTTAGGCTAATGACCTTCTGATGATAAGTGAGAAGGAGGATCTGCTTCCAGACTGTGGTTGACCCCAGGTAACAAACCATGGAAAGTAAAACCACAGATAAGGGGGATTACTATAGTTACAAAACAATGTGTTAGAAGTATTGTAACTGAAGTATTGCTCAGGCTCCATGGGGAACATGTAAGAGGAACAAAAAAATCCAGGTGGGGCACAGGGAGAAGGGAAGAAGAACTGCCACCTAAAGCTGAATGCTAAGTGTAAGTTAATTAGACAGAAAGAAGAGCAAGTACATTCAAGGGAAAAGGAATAGGAGGGACATGAATATGAGGCCAGAGAGAACAGAGCACGTGCAGGAAAATCTACAAACAGCAGCCAAGAGAGGTTGTATGAGGACCTTGAAAACCATAGCAGGGCTTTTGGCTTTATTGCAAGGCAGTGGGGGAATCACTGGCAGTTTCCACAAGGGCTAACAAAATCAGATGGAATGATCATCCAAACCACATTCTGAACAACAGACTCTAATATGGAAGAGAGAAGGTATCAAAGACTGCCAGTAGGAAAGCAGCTGGCTAGAGGTTCTTCATAATTGAAGCAGAACACAAAGAGGATGTGAGTGGGAGTAAGAATAGGAGAGGTACACTTGAAAGAAAATGAGGGAAGAGATGTAACCACACTTGAAGATTCTCACATGTGAAAAAGGAGAGTGAAGACATATTCAAAGAAGACCCTAAGCATCTGTTTGGCCAACCAGAAAAGTGTGCTCACCTACAAAGGGAATTCAGAAAATAATCTGTAGAGGAGTAGTTGCTAATATACATTTGGTTTTGATATGTTAATGTTCTGATGCTTATGGAATAGCTGAGATAAAAGTGGCCAATAGGTAGTGGCTTTATGGGTCTGGAGTTTTAATAAAGTAATACGGGATAGAGATATAACTTCAGTAATCATCAAAACAAAAACTGTGCATTAAAGTATGTGAGTTAGAAAAGACTGTTCCTCTAAATTCTGTAAAAGTGAGAAAAGAAGGTCCAGGCTGGAACCATGGGAATACGATCACCATTTAAGCTGTATTCAGGTGAAAGGAGACAGAAGTTTTGGATTTGAGAAAAAAAGAGATTGCACAGTTTTAAGAAAACTGTGAGACCTTGGAAATAGTGTGCTATAAAGAATAAATGATGCAAAATGGTCCAGCCACTTTGGAAGACAGTTGGAAGTTTCTTACTAAATATACTCTTAAAATACAACCCAGCAATCATACTCCTTGGTATATACTTGGTATATATATAAGGAGGTAAAAAGATGTTCACATAAACACCTGCACACAGATGTTTAGATCAATTACTCATAACTGCCAAAACATGGAAGCAACCAAGTGAATTAATAAACTGTGGTACATTCACACAATAGAATAGTATTTGGCACTATAGAGAAGTGAGCTATCAAGCCATGAAAAGACATGGAAGAACCATAAGTGCATAGGACTAAGTGAAAGAAGCCAAACAAAAAAGGCTACATACTGTATGATTCCAACTATATTACATTCTGGAAAAAACAAAACTATGAAGACAACAAAAAGATCAGTGATTGACAGCAGTTACGGGGGTGAAGATGAATAAACAGAGTACTCTTGGACAGTGAAAATACTGTGTATGATATAATGATGAATATGTTATTATGCATTTGTACAAACCCACAGAATGGACAACACCAAGAGTAAACTTTAACATACACTACAGACTTTGGATGATTATAACACGCCAATGCAGATTCATCAATTGTAACAAATGTACCATTCTGGTAAGTGATGCTGATAATGGGGGAGGCTATAGATGTGTCACGGCAAGGGGTATATGGCAAGTCTCTAAGATCTTCCTCTCAACTTTACCGTAAACATAAACTGCTCTAAAAATATATAAAAAATAAAACCAAAAATAGGAATAAATGGAAGGGCAGGTGAAAATAGGAGACCTGATAATTCTTTCAGGAAGCTTGGAAATGCATATTTTAATTTCTTCCAAAAATAGAAAAGACAACATAAAAAGACACATTTGCCCAGCTATGAACAACTCATATGACAAAGTTGAAGATAAAATCACGAAAATAAAAGTGTACTCGAGACTCAAGTGTATTTTCCAACCACAACCATGAGCTTTAAATGAATTTCCTCAAGGAAGAATTTTTTTTAATGATTTTATTTATTTATTTGACAAAGACAGAGACAGTAAGAGAGAGAACACAAGCAGGGCGAGTGGGAGAGGGAGAAGCAGGATCCCCGCCCAGCAGGGAGCCCGATGTGGGGCTCAATCCCAGTACCTTGGGATCATGACCTGAGCCAAAGGCGGACTCTTAATGACTGAGCCACCCAGGCGCCCATCAAGGAAGAATTTAATAGCATTAAGATGGGTAAGATTTAATAGAAATTTAGGTAGTAATTCAACAATTCCATATATTACCTGGTGCTCATCACAATAAGTACACTCCTTAATCCCTATCACCTATTTCATCCACCCCCACCATCCACCCTTCTGGTAACCATCAGTTTGTTCTCTAATGAAGAGTCTGTTTCTTGGTCTGTCTCTTTCTTTTTGATTTTCCCTTTACCTCTGTTATGTTTCTTACATTCCATATATGAGTGAAATCATATGGTATCTCTCTTCCTCTCCCTGACTTATTTTGCCTAGCATTATACTCTGTACTTCCACTAATGTCATTTTTTTATAGCTGAATTAACTTCCATTGTACATATTTACATCCATTGTATACATTTACATTGTACATATTTACATGGATACATCTTTTTTTAAATTTTATTTTATTATGTTATGTTAATCACCATACATTACATCATTTGTTTTTGATGTAGTGTTCCATGATTCATTGTTTGCGTATAACACCCAGTGCTCCATTCAGTACATGCCCTCTTTAATACCCATCACCAGGCTAACCCATCTCCCCACCCCCCTCCCCTCTAGAACCCTAAGTTTGTTTCTCAAAGTCCATAGTCTCTCATGGTTCGTCTCCCCCTCCAATTTCCCCCCCTTCATTTTCCCCTTCCTATTATCTTTTTTTTTTTAACATATAATGTATTGTTTCAGAGGTACAGGTCTGTGATTCATCAGTCTTACACAATTCACAGCGCTCACCATAGCACATACCCTTCCCAATGTCTATCACCCAGGCACCCCATCCCTCCCACCCCCCACCACTCCAGCAACCCTCAGTTTGTTTCCTGAGATTAAAAATTCCTCATATCAGTGAGATCATATATATGTCTTTCTTTGATTGACTTATTTCGCTCAGCATAATACCCTCCAGTTCCATCCACGTCTTTGCAAATGGCAAGCTTTTTTTGATGGCTGCATAATATTCCAGTGTGTGTGTGTGTGTGTGTGTGTGTGTGTGTGTGTGTGTGTGTGTATACCACCTCTTCTTTATCCATTCATCTGTTGATGGACATCTTGGCTCTTTCCACAGTTTGGCTATTGTGGACACTGCTGCTATAAACATCGGGGTGCACATACCCCTTCATATCACATTTGTATCTTTGGGGTAAATACCCAGTAGTGCAATTGCTGGGTCATAGGGTAGCTCTATTTTCAACTTTTTGAGGAACCTCCATACTGTTTTCCAGAGTGGCTGCACCAGCTTGCATTCCCGCCAACAGTGGAGGAGGGTTCTCCTTTCTCCACATCCCCGCCAACATCTGTCGTATCCTGACTTGTTAATTTTAGCCATTCTGACTGGTGTGAGGTGGGATCTCATTGAGGTTTTGATTTGGATTTCCCTGATGCTGAGTGACGTTGAGCACTTTTTCATGTGTCTGTTGGCCATTGGATGTCATCTTTGGAAAAATGTCTGTTCATGTCTTCTGCCCATTTCTTGACTGGATTATTTGTTCTTTGGGTGTTGAGTTTGATAAGTTCTTTATCGATTTTGGATACTAGCCCTTTATCTGATATGTCATTTGCAAATATCTTCTCCCATTCTGTCAGTTGTCTTTTGGTTTTGTTGACTGTTTCCTTTGTTGTGCAAAAGCTTTTTATCTTGAAGTCCCAATAGTTCATCTTTGCCCTTGCTTCCTTTGCCTTTGGCAATGTTTCTAGGAAGAAGTTGCTGCGGCTGAGGTCGAAGAGGCTGTGTTCTCCTCTAGGATTTTGATGGACTCCTGTCTCACATTTAGGTCTTTCATACATGGATACATCTTTATCCATTTATCAGTCATTTTAGCCATTCTGACAGGTGTGAAGTGGTCACTGTACTTTTGCTTGTATTGCCCTGATGATGAGTGATGTTGAGCATCTTTTCATGTGTCTGTTGGTCATCTTGATGTCTTCTTTGGAGAAATGTCTGTTCATGTCTTCTGCCGATTTTATAACTGGATTATTTGTTTTGGGGTACTGAGTTTTATAAGTTCTTTATTTATTTTGGATACTAACCCTTTATCAGTTATTGTCATTTGCAAATATCTTCTCCCATTCCACAGGTTGTCTTTTAGTTTAACTGATCGTTTTCTTTGCTATGCAAAAGCTTTTATTTTAATTAAGTCCAAAATTTATTTTTTTCTTTGTTTACCTAGCCTCAGGAGACATATCTAGAAAAAAGTTGCTACAGCAAATGTCAAAGAGGTATTAACTGTGTTTTCTTCTAGGATTTATATGATTTCAGGTCTCATATCAGGGTCTTTAATCCATTTTGAATTTATTTTTGTGTATGGTGTAAGAAGTGGTCTAGTTTCATTTTTTTACACGTAGCTATTCAATTTTCCCAACACTGTTTGTTAAAGAGACTGTCCTTTTCCCATTGGATATTCTTTCCTGCTTTGTTGAAGATTAATTCACCAAATAGTTGAGTTCATTTCTGGGTTCTCTATTCTGTTCCATTGATCTGCTGTGTTCATTTTTGTGCCAGTACCATACTGTTTTGAACACTACAGCTTTGTAATATAACTTGAAATCCAAAATTGTGATGCCTCCAGGTTTGCTTTTCTTTTTTCAAGATTCCTTTAGCTACTGGATCTTTTGTGGTTCCATAAAACTTTCAGAATTATTTGTCCTAGTTCTATAAAAAATGCTGTTGGTATTTTGATAGGGATTGCATTAAATGTCTAGATTGCTTTAGGTAGTATAGAAATTTTAACAATATTTGTTCTTCCAATCCAGGAACACAGAAAGTTTTTCCATTTCTTTTGTGTCATCTTCAATTTCTTTCATCAGTGTTTCATAGTTTTCAGAGTACAGGACCGGTCTTTCATCTCTTTGGTTAGGTTTATTCTTAGGTATCATATTATGTTTGGTGAAATTGTAAATGGGATAGTTTTCTTAATTTCTCTTTCAATATTGCTGTATAGAAATGCAACAGATTTCTGTGCATTGATTTTTATCCTGCAACTTTACTGAATTCGTGTATCAGTTCTAGTCATTTTTTGGTGGAGTCTTTTGGGCTTTCGACATAGAATATCATGTCATTTGCAAACAGTGCAAGTTTGACTTCTTCCTTGCCAATTTGGATGGCTTTTATTTCTTTTTGTTGTCTGACTGCTGTGGCTAGGACTTCTGGTACTATGCTGAATAAGAGTGGATATCCTTGTCTTGTTCCTGACCTTAGGGGAAAAGCTCTCAGTTTTTCCCCATTAATGATGATGTTAGCTGTGGGTTTTTCATATATAGCTATTATTATGTTGAGGTATGATTCCCTCTAAATGTATATTGCTGAGGGTTTTTATCATGAATGGATGTTGTACTTTGTCAAATGTTTTTATTGCCTCTATTGGAATCATATGTTTCTTATCTTTTCTCTTATTCATGTGATGTATCCCATTGATTGATTTACGAATACTGAATAAATCCCTCTTGAGGTGAATGATTTTTTTTAATGTATTGGATTCTGTTTGCTAGTATTTTGTTGAGAATTTTTGCATCTGTGTTCATCAGCGACAATGGCCTGTAGTTCTCTTTTGTAGTGGTGTCTTCATCTATAGTGGTATCTTTGGTATGAGGGTAATGCTGGTCATAGAATGAATTTGGAAGTTTTCCTTTCACTTCTATTTTTTTGGAATAGTTTGAGAAGAAGAAGCATTAACTCTTTTTTAAATATCTGGTAGAATTGGCCTGTGAAGTCTTCTGATCATGGACTTATGTTTGTTCAGAGATTTTGATTACTGATTCAGTTTCTCCACTGGTTATCAGTCTGTTTTCTATTTCTTCTTGATTTAGTTTTGGGAGTTTATATGTTTCTAGGAATTTATCCGTTTTTTCTAGACTGTCCAATTAGTTGGCATATTTTTCATAATATTCTCATAATTATTTGTATTTTTGTGGTGTTGGTTGTTATTTCTCCTCTCTCATTTGTGACTTTATTAATTTGGGTCCTTTCTCTTCTCCTTTTGATAAGTCTGACTAGAGGTTTATCAATTTTACTGATTTTTTTCAAAGAACCAGTTCCTGGTCTCATTGGTCTGTTCTATTTTTTCTTTAGTTTCTATATCATTTATTTTTGCTCTAAACTTTATTATTTCTTTCCTTCTGCTGGTTTTAGGTTTTGTTTGTTGTTCTTTTTCTAGCTCCTTTAGGTGTAAGGTTAGATTACTTATTTGAGATTTTTCTTGCTTCGTGAGATAAGCCTGTATTGCCACAAACTTCCCTCTTAGAACCATTTTTGCTGCTGCAGGTCCAAAGGTTTTGGACCATTGTGTTTTGTTTTGTTTTTTAAAGATTTTATTTATTTATTTGAGAGAAGGGGTAAGGGGCAGAGGGAAGAGGAGAGAATATCAAGCAGACTTTGCACTGAGTGTAGAGACAGAAGCAGGGCTTGTTCCCATGATCCTGAGATCATGACCTGAGCTGAAACCAAGAGTCAGTTGGCTCAACCTACTGTGCCAACCAGGTGTGCCAGGACTGTTGTCATTTCATTTTCATTTGGTTCCACGTACTTTTCTATTTCTTTTTATTTCCTGGTTGACTGGTTCATTATTATTTATGGTCTTTATACACTTTTTCTTGTGGTTGATTTCTAGTTTCATAGCATTGTGGTCAGAAAAAATGCATGGTTGACTTTTGATTTTTTTGAATTTGCTGAGGCTTGTTTTGTGGCCTAACACATGATCTATTCTAGAGAATGTTCTATATGCACTTAAAAAATTCTACTGTTATAGGATGGAATGTTTTGAATATATCTTTTTAATCCATCTGGCCCAGTGTGTCATTCAAAGCCTCTGTTTCCTTGTTGACTTTCTGTTCAGATGATCTATTGATTTGAGTGGAGTGTTAAAGTCCCCCCACCATTATTCTATTATTATCGATTAATTCCTTTATTTTGTTATTAACTATCTTATATATTTGGGTGCTGCTATGTTGGGGTGCATAAATATTTACAATTATTAGATCTTCTTGTTGGATTGTCCCCTTTATTATTATATAGTGTCCTCCTCTGTCTCTTGTTACGGTCTGTTTTAAAGTCTATTTTGTTGGATGTCTGGGTGGCTCAGTTGATTAAGCAACTGCCTTCAGCTCAGGTCATGATCCCAGGGTCCTGGGATCAAGCCCCACATTGGGCTCCTTCATCAGTGGGGAGCCTGCTTCTCCCTCTGCCTGCCACTCCCCCTGCTTGTTCTCTCTGACAAATAAATAAAATCCTTTTTTAAAAAAGTCCATTTTTGTCCAATATAAGTATTGCTACCCCTGCTTTCTTCTGACATCCATTTGCATGATAGATTTCCCCACCCCTCACTTTCAACCTGCAGGTGTCTTTATGTCTAAAAAGAGTCTTTTGTAGGCAGCATCCAAATGGGTCTTGTTATTTTAACCATTTTGTCACCCTCTCTTTTTTGAATGGGAGTTTAGTCTGTTAACATTCAAAGTAACTATTGACAATATGTACTCATTGTGATTTTATTTGTTTTGTGGTTGTTTCTGAAGATTTTCTCTGATCCTTTCTTGTCTTTCTCTCATGTTTTGCTGATTTTGTTTAGTGATATATTTGGATTTCTTTCTCTTTATTCTTTGCATATTTATTAGTAGTTATTGATATATGGTTGCCATTAGGTTTGTATATAACCTCTTCTGCATAGAGCAGTCTATATTAAGTTGATGGTCATTTAATTTTGAACCCATTCTTTCTGTGCCTCTCTTCCCCATGTTTTAGGTATTTGTTGTCATATTTTACATCCTCTTATTTTGTGAGTTCCTTGACTGATTTTTTTAGAGAAATATTCAGTTTTACTGATTTTGTATTTCCTACCTTCACACTGTCACTTTTGATCTTTCCTTTCCCCTCAACAAGTTCCCTTTAATATTTCTTTCAGAGCTGCTTTAGTGGTTATATATTCCTTTAGTTTTTGTTTGTCTGGGAAACTCTATCTCTCCTTCCATTCTGAATAATACCCTTGTGGGACTGAGTATTTTTGGCTGCATATTTTTCCCATTCAGCACTTTGAACATATCATGCCACTCCCTGTTAAAAAAAAATCCCCTGCTAGCTTTATGGAGTTTCCCTTGTATGTTACTGTCTTTATTTTTTTCTTGATGCTTTTAATTTTTTTTTTCTTTATCACTATATTTTGCCCTTTTAATTACAATATGTCTTGGTGTGGATCTGCTTTTGTTGATTTTTTGGGGAGTTCTCTGTGCCTCCTGTATTTGGTTATCTGTTTCCTTCCCCAGATCAGGGAAGTTTTCAGGTATTATTTCTTTAAATAAATTTTCTGCTCTCTTTTCTTTGTCTTCTTATCCTGTAACTCCTATGATACAAATGTTATTACATTTGAAGGAATCACTGAGTTAAGTCTATTCTCATTTTGCCTAATTCTTTTTTCTCTTTTGTTCAGCTTGATTACTTTCCATTACTCTGTCTTCTAGATAATTAATTCATTCCTCTGCTTCTTCCAGCCTGCTCTTCATTCCATCCAGCATGTTTCTCATTTCATTTATTGAGCCCTTTATCTCTGCTATGTTATTCCTTATCTCTGTGTTAAGAATCTTCCGTCTTTCCTTTTTGTTTTCATGACTATCCTTATGATCAATGCTTTAAATACCCACCAGGCATGTTACTCATATATGTTTCACTTAGATCTCTGGCCATGGACCTGTCCTATTCTTCCATTTGGGATACATTTCTCTGTCTTCTCATTTTGTCTAAGTCTCTGTACCTGTTTATGTGTGTTAGGAAAGTCAGCTATGTCTCCTATTCTTGAGGGTAATAGCCTTATAAAGAAGAGGTCCTCTAGTGCCTTACCATGTATCGCCCCCCATTCCCCAGGGCCTGGTGCTTCCAGGCATGTCTCCAATGTGTACTGTGTGTGCTCTGTTGTTTTGTCCTGGCCACTTTATCTTTATCTATCCAGACTCTGCCTACCATGGGCAGTGTTTGGCCCCTGGCCTGAATGTACTGCATTTTAACTAGGTGTGCTCTGGTCTGCTTGTAAAATGAGACCTGTCGCCACTGCTGCCAGAACCAAGGCCTTACAAAACTCCCATGTCATGAGAACCAGTGTGAGCAGGGGTTTGGGCTGGTCTTCTGGGGGAGGGACTTGTGGCACTGGGACTGAGGCAAACAAGACTGGGAAGGGTGGTTCTGCTGGAGCATTGCTGGGGGGGGCGGAGGGGGCCTTGACGTAAGCATGTTATGTAGAAGCGTTAGCGCTCTGCTGGTTCCCGCAGGTGGTCCTGTGCTTATGCAGAAGGGTGGCAGAGGGAAATGGTGCTGGCCAGTTCCTTTGTTCCTGGAGGGTTCTCTCCATGAACACTGCATTTCTGGGACATGCACCAAAATGAATAAATAACCTCCCCACTGTGCGTCCCAGGCACTCTTCAGATCAGTTTACATGCTTTATGTCTCTGGGTTCCTTGCCAGCCTTCGCTCTAAGAGCAGCACAGTGCCCTCCAGGCTCTATCATAGCCAAGCCCATTGACCTCTGAAACTCTAAGGCCTTAGGGGCACTTGGCTGGCTAAGTTCGTAGAACATGTGACTCTTGATCTCTGGGCTGTAAGTTAGAGCCCCACACTAGACATAGAGATTACCTTAAAAAAAAATAAAATCTTTAAAAAAAAACAAAACCAAAAACTCCAGGCTTTAAGCTCTGCTGGTTGTCAGAAGTCAAGAAATTCTGCCTCTCTGACTTTCCAAGCCAATTGCTATGGAGATTCATTTTCTCCCTCTGTGCTTCCCTGTGTGTTAGTCTGTCTCTTGCCCTTCTCTGTGACAGTGGCTTCCTCCTGAGTACAGCAGCCACAGATTGTTTCTCCCCTAGACTGTGTCTCCACACTTCCTACCTTCTTTGATATGGCCTCTTCTCTACCTTTAGTTGTGGAGTTTGTTTTGCCAGTCTTCAGGACAATTTTTGGGGTATTTAGGATGATTTGATAGTTATCTAGTTGTATTCATGGGATGAAGCAAGCCTAGAGTCCTCCTATTCCACCGCCATCTTCCTCTCTTCTTGTACTTTTTTTAATTTTTATTCTGACAGGTATGAAATATTTCACTCTTAAGTTTGTATTTTCTTGATTATCCACAGGGTTGATCTTTGCACTTTTTTATTGGCTCTTCATATTTCTTTTTCAGTGAATTGCTTATTCATATACTTTACCTGTATTTCTAGTAGGAGAGACATTTACTTTTTACTCATATGGGTCTAAATGATGACTGAGAGGTCATCAGAAAACCATTATTACAATTTAAAAATGACAGAGGAAGACCCAGTACATAAAACTGAAATCCCTTCTAGTACCTTAAGAAAATTTTCTCAACCACGATTTTTTAATCACTATCTCTGGTAGACTGCCTAGTGCTACACAGGGACCCAGTTTACTTGGGCAATATTTTCCTTCCTTGAAAATTTTTATTCTTTATCAAATCATCTTTATACAAAATGTATTACTTTACTTCAATACTGGATCTCAAGTACCAAGATAAAGCTTTATTTGTTTTCTTTTGAAACACATATTTTCCAATATTTTCTCCTGTTTCCTTTAGAAAGCTAACCAACTGGTGCCCTCTTAAAACTTTCATATAAAATTACTTCTTTCAGGTATACAACCTTCCAGTATTACAGAAATAATACCGACAAGTAAATCTGGATCTTTAATAGCAGAAAATTTACTGCAGTGGTCAAATTCACAGAGCCAAAGAGTGACTATATAGCTACAATCATTATTTGCTAATGTTTGAAACATAATACACTTATTAGTATTGTAGTAATACTCAAACATTATACACTTATTAGCACTAGTGTCAATGCTAGTAAGTGTAAAACTCCCTGTGTTGGAAATAATATCTTCCAACACCCACACAGATTGGGTGTGCGTATAGAGAGAACACACATGTTCTCTTAACATAAAGACAAATGAAGACCTAATAACCTCAGAACTGTGAGACACCTGAATTAGTGATTAAATATCACAAATGACAAGATTAAGATATGAGCAAGGAGTAGTTCCTGTGAAATCAGTCACCAAAAAACAATGACAACATTGTAAACTGTCTGTAAACTGAAACCATCTGCAACTTACCAAAATCATAAAGTGTTCAAAACATTCTCAGTTTCCAAAAGTGATAAATACTGCTATAATAGACAACTGTCACAATTTATTTCTGATTTCTCTTTTCAGAGAACTATCGATGGAGAAAATAGCCTTCAACATCCAAGCAGTCACAGGTGTGGCCTCATCCATGTCTAAGCAGCCATGTGTCTACTATGATTTGCCTCAGAAAGACAAGTCACTAAAGTTGGGCCAATAAGATTTTTAATTGAGAGATACAGAGTCTGGGAAGGAGAAGCTAAGACACACTAATGGCTAATCTCTAAATCAAAGATCCATGATTTCCTGCTGGTGAGGTTCCCAGAGCTGCCCTGAGACCCGGTTCATCTTTCACCTTTATCTTAGATTCCTTGGGATACACAAACATGATTCCAATAAATTTCTTCTTCTTCTTTTAAAGTAGCTAGTTTTGTTTTCTGTTGCTTGTAACCAAGAGGCTTAATATCTGCTAAATATCTCCAAAAAGAAAAAATTTTCTATTAAACAAATACTTATTCAGTACACACTATGTGCAAAATGTTATGCAAGAGAGAAAATCTGAAACATAGTTCCATAAATAGCTTGACATCAAATAAAGGAGATATTACAAACATGGTCACATTAAATGTTACAAGTGGGCGAAGAATGGAGCCCTTATTTCTGTCCCATCTGAAACCAGCATACATACCAGGAGAGATAAAACCTACATCAGGTCTCAAAGCACTGGAAGATTACTTTTTTCTTTTTTTTTTTAAGATTTCAATCAGAGAAAGACATGTATCATATGACCTCAGTGATATGAGGAATTCTTAATCTCAGGAAACAAACTGAGGGTTGCTGGAGTGGTGGGGAGTGGGAGGGATGGGGTGCCTGGGTGATAGACATTGGGGAGGGTATGTGCTATGTGAATTGTGTAAGACTGATAAATCACAGACCTGTACCTCTGAAACAAATAATACATTATATGTTAAAAAAAAAAAAAAAGAAGAAGATAGTAGGAAGGGAAATATGAAGAGGGGGAAATTGGAGGGGGAGACGAACCATGAGAGACTATGGACTCTGAGAAACAAACTGAGGGTTCTGGAGGGGAGGGGGGTGGGGGATGGGTTAACCTGGTGATGGGTATTAAAGAGGGCACGTACTCCATGGAGCACTGGGTGTTATACGCAAACAATGAATCATGGAACACTACATCAAACACTAATGATGTAATATATGGCGATTAACATAACATAATAATTTTTTAAAAGATTTATTTATTTATTTTAGAGAGAAAGAGAACAAGTGCGGGCAAGGGGAGAGACAGAGAGAGAGAGAGGCAGACTTCCCACTGAGTGTGGTCCGGAGCCCAATGCAGTGCCCGATTACATGACCCTGAGGAGCATGACCTGAGCTGAAATCAAGACCAACTGAGCCACTCAAGCGCCCCTGGAAAATTCTTAATAGATGAAAATGAGAAGAGAGAAGAAATCATATAAGTCAGGAAACTAGAATGGATATTCAAAATATATAAACAAGTCCAGATAAAGTTTAGGGTTCACACTTGGAAGCAAGAGACAATAAGAATAAGATAATAAGAACAATATAATCCTACAGATTGGGTGTGCGTGTAGAGAGAACACACATGTTCTCTTACATAAAGACAAATGAACAAACCTATCATCCATGGGGAATATGCTCAAATTTATTTCTTAGAATAATGATGGGCAAATTCTTTCACATGCTTTCAAGGTAGCTTCTAAGTACCAGTGACTGGTCTGAGTCAGTGGTAAAGTCCATGCATTCAGACTTGTTTCTGTTCCCAACCCCACTGCTGAAATGCACTAACAAATTAAGTTTTGATAACATTTTAATGTACTAAAAGTAATTCAATACAATTCATTTTTGGCCTACTACTTTAATAACCTCTATTCTAAAATTGTTTGGTAATCAATAGTGCTAATGAAATACTTCAGAGGAAGAATCAATTGGTTCAAGTGATGAACAAAGGAGGCGAAATTTAGAGACAGGATAGTGGTGCTACTAAAGGAAATAGAGAATACCTTCAGGAGCAAAGAAAGGGAAAAGAAGATATTATTCCCAACACAGGGAGTTTTAAATGATCACAGGACTAGCACAGAGACATAGAGCCACCTGGCAAGAGGCTGGAATGCATCTGCTTGGCGAAGAGGTCATTGGAGAAGAAATGATCCAAGACACCAACCTTTAAGATGCCCGAGTTGTGGACACATGTGAGAACAAATCAGCCACAGCATTCTACCTCCTGAGCTCCCTGAACATTAAGGAGTATTTATGTGACTGTAGCCTCATCATAGACAACCTCCTTCAGGTTGCAGGATAGGGATCACAAAGACTCCATGACTTCCATTACTTTCAGGGATTCTTTATTTTGATATTCTATAATACTATACAGCCAAAATGGTAAGAAAAAAGACCCCATTTCTCTCCTTTAAAATCTGCCAGTTATTTGGTAATGCACACAACATCTGGGCAACATGAAGAGCTGGGATAAAATAAGAAGCACATACATATACTTACATGAGCTGATTAAAAAGAAAAGTAAAAAAAAATAGACAATTTTCTAAATAGGTGTTTATTCAATAAGCACTGTTTTTCCTTTAAAAAATAAATTTTAAATAACTATCACAAATTTTAAATTTAAAAATTAATTAGCATAATGCTTTATGCAAATCATCTGATACCTTTGAAGCTAATGTAACCCTATCTACAAATTTCTTCATGGAATGTTTAGGAAAGATTCCTGTTAGTGATCTCCCTGAATAAAGAGCTACTCCTGAACTGAAGTGTCCCAATTCCTGTGTATCAAATCTAAATCTAAATCCATGTATGAAAGTCTACATGAGTCGGGTCCTCTTAGATAAAAATTGTGTCTACTACTAACAAAGTCAAACAATAGAGTCTAATTACAAGAATAAGTAGTACCTCCATGGTAAAGTTACCTCTATGACAAATGAAACAAATTAGCCAGATCAAACACTGCTCTCTAACATTTAGAAATTTAAAGCTTTTAACTCTGAAATGTATTGAAAGGTCACACTAAGAGCAATAGAATACTAGTAATAAATCCCCACTTCTTAGTTTTAAATAACACCTTTGTAGCTACTTACTAACTCAGCTGGTAAAACAAAGAAAAGGGAAATAGTAACTAAACTAAACCATTCTTTTAGATAACCAATTATAAGACAGAAAACAGCTCACTTGACTCATATTTCATGCAAAACAAAAGTCTCAAGCCTTTGTTTTCAGCCCAGGTGAGAAGGTGTCCATGAGGGGAGGGGAGGCAGGTTGGGGGTGGGGGTCAGTGAAGACACCTTGTATGCCTGGTGGTAAGGGGGCAGGTGCTGGCTGCACCCTGACTTGCAGGGCCAGGCATGTTCCCCATGCCACATCCTGCAGTACACTGGTTTCTGCTCTCTGAGACGTCCCACTCAATTACTGACCAGGCCCAGACCTGCCCTTGTAAGATCTTATAAGATCACCAAGAGTCAGGCTATGCTAAGTTCACCATGTTTATTTTAGGTTCAGCCTCCCCTTCTTAAAGTCACACTACAAATGAGAACAGTAGTGGCATTTTAAGGAAAGAACAAAAGGATTTTAAGGCTCTGCCTGCTCAGAAGCTTTTAAATCTAATAACCACTAAATGTTTTTAGGGAAGGCAGAAGGTAAGGGCAACAGCAAAAATGCCGTAGGAGATAAGCCACGGCAACTGTGGCAAACAAAATGACCAAAACCAAGACAGCTCCTACAAATTAAAGGGAATGAAAGAGTACTGGTGACTGATAAACCAACAAATTTACTTAGCAAATGCCTTTATTTCCACTTCCAAAATTAAAATGGAATTTATTCATTTAACAAATTAATTGCGTGCCTACTATGTATCAGGAATCATTCTGGGTACAATGATTATAGTGGAGGAGGCACCAAAATTCATATCCCAGTGGTCTTTAAGTTCCAATGGAATCACATACACACCCCTTAATTAACATGGTCTGTTTTCTGGCTAGTTATCAAGAACTGCACAGTTGTGTGGAATAGCAAAAACACCAAAAATGGAAAGATTATATATATCAGACTTCCAGTTGCTCACAGAATTTTATTTTCTATTGGGATTAAAAATCAATAAACACAACACAATTCTAGACAATAGAGACTTAAACTATTGATAGGCGATATACTTTCACTATTTACTTCGTATGTTTGTGACTGAAACTTTATCCATGAAAATTGGGAGCCAGCTAGTGAGGAAAAACAAAAGCAATAGATTTTCTCACACGCTGAAGAAAAAAAAATCTTTTCTGAGGTAAACAGGTTTAACAAGCTACTACCATGGTCACACCTTTGTAAACCACTTGGCTTGCCCTCCTCAAATATGTTTCCAACCTCAAATTCCAGCCTGATGAGAATGACGGAACTCAAGTCCTATCAACCTGATCTTAAGTTCCAAAGAGCCTGCTCTGAGGAACCCAAAGAGAAAATGAGAAACAGCAGGACAAGGTGCATCTTAAGAGAAAGGGAGAGAGAGAGAAATTACTATGCTCTAGAAGGAACCTACCGGGTCAGTCATAGTTCACCAAGCACAGCTGAGTATGGAGAAGGTCAGGGCATATGCCCAAGGACAAAAATCCACAGCAAACAAGTGGTGATCTGCCCAGAACCAGGTCCACATAGCCTGGCTACAGTGATTGTAGAGGACAAGAAAGAAAAGCACCCCCTTGTCCAAGGAAGACACTATATAATTGTAGAATATGGATACAGTCTGTGATACAACCTATCCAGCCATTTTCTCTGTTTCAAAATATGTTCAGAGAAAGACACAGCCCTGCACACTCAGGTAGGGGCAGCACACCTTGTCCCCGGTCTGCTGAAGGGTCCTCCAACTCAAACCTACACTCAAAACTGGGGCCTCAAAACTAATAGAGAAGCCAAATGAGAGTGTGTTCTAAAAATTAATCTGTTCACTTATGCAAATGGAACAAGAGGCAAGACACAGTCTGTTTCTGGTTATGAGCTAGGCTTTTTTTTTTCCCCCAAAACAAAGAACTGAAATCTTACACAATGGTGGACTGGGGAGGGAAGAAAATGAAAGAAAATCAGAGAAGCCTAGAGAAGGTAGAAAGAGCTTCCACAGAAATATGCCAGGTAAATGCCCTAAGAAAATAAAGGCAATAAAGAAAAGCAAAAACAGTACAAAGCAAGTATACAGCCCTCTAGACCTGGGATTTGCCTCTCCAAACACAAGATCCATGTTAATAGGTATTAAGAGAAAATGATCTCTACAATCAAATCAGTTTGAATAAAGTAGGTTGAATAAAATTAAATTGTAAGATTTCTCAGGAGCTTTTATTTATTTTTTAATTTAAATTCAAATAGT